TTATGCGTCCAATCATGGTTATCCTAATTTGTTTAAATCGTAAATTCAAATTAATGAAAAGATATTCAAATATAAGATATAAATGATATATAAAGGTTTTAAAACAAAAATTTAAACTAAATAGGTGCAAAAACTTGGGCAATCTATAATAAACTATTAGATATATATAGTGGTTTTATATCTGTATAAACCTATTAGAATCGAGAGTGTTGTGGCACGGTAATGCTTACTTGTGCAATGTACATTAATTCCTTTAATTTCAACAACCGGTGTATGAGCATTTCTTTAAAGAACATTATGTACAATTGTTGCAACATAGATTTTCTTTCTGGCAACCTTGTCTACGACAAGGTTTTACAATTTTTTTTAATGAAGAAGATCCATTTTTTAATTTGTGCTTTCAGAAGGATTGCTGGATGACTTAAGCTATGCAATAATTGAAAGAGACAACCAAGTTGGCGTATAAGGTTTTCACAAGATATGTTATTCGACTCGTATCAGGTGTCTACTCATTACTCCTACTCCTCTTTCACAGTTTCTTTACCCTGCTAATTTGGCTTTTGCATGCAACATACGTTGGATTAGTTGGTGCTCAATTTACTTTTGTATTCTGTTACTGGTAGCTACTTAGAATGTATTTTTCACAGTTGAAAATCTTCACTCCTGCTCCACATAGATGGGAACAAAGTCGCGAGTATCGTGAAGATATTGGCGCCAGGTACAATAATCTTAACAACATTTCATGACAAAAAAAAAAAGCAAGAGGGTATGATAAAATAGTGTAGTTTACCCTGTTCACAAATTTATTTTAAGAAAAAAAATACTTATGATTTGGAGATATATGGGTGCATGAGTTGTGAAAAAAAAAAAGATTCCCATTTTGGATTAGGAATATGATGATTAAATAAAAGGTAATAATAGTAGAACCAAATTCTGTTCTGAATGCAGAAAAGCTGACAGTTTTTTGCGCTTACATAATATTTAATATTTTTGNGCTTACATAATATTTAATATTTTTGGTAAGAGGTTGTATAAAACCTTCTTTTATCTTGGCTCGTTACTTTTCTCTAGAAGTCGTTTCAATGGCCAATATCATGCTGAAATTTCCTTGCTGTTTATACCATGCAAATAATTGAATCAATACAATGTTTTGTTGCTTCCATTTGATGTTTCCAATTTTTATTTACTTTTTATGTGGTCATTATTTCAGCTACTCACCTACAACAGAAGAATACCATTTGCAGAATTATTTGCTAGAATTGATGCTGTTGATGCAAGCACAATAAAACGTGTTGCTAACAGATTTATTTATGACAAGGTTTTGTTGGAACCATTTATCTTGTTAATCTTTCAGTAACACGAACGCTAGTTCATTAGGCAATTTGTTTCGTCAGCTTGTCTCTGAACTCATTACATTTGGCCTTGCAGGATATTGCAATTGCTGCCATGGGACCTGTTCAGCGTTTGCCTGATTACAACTGGTTCAGACGAAGAACATACTGGAATCGATATTAGTTTTAATCATAGTTTACGTTTCTTCAACTTCCCGAGAGATGTGCCCAAGGAATCAAATTTACACCTTGTGTATCTCCAAATAGTTGTTACAACATTCAATTATCTATTTATTCATTTATTTGGTATAGGCATTTTTAAAACACAGGGAGAAATAAATATGCTATTCTTCACGGTGTAATTGTGATTGACTCCGAATCCTCAGAATGCGCGTCTAGTTAGTGATACATGGTAGTTTAATTTTTTATTAAAAATCTACTTGTTAGGTGTTATTATGATTCAAAGTTCAACAATCATATTATCACATGGAAATCTGCTTAAAAGAAAAAGGAAAAACAAACACAAAAACATGGAGATCAAACTAAATTCATGTTAAAAAAACATACAACCAAACCTCTAATAAATACAATGTTATAAAACAAATCTAGGAATTGATACATATTACTAAAGTTTAAACTAATAAATGAAGAACATTAAACCAAGTAAGTGGTGGATACGAGACCCTAAGTTAATGAAAGCAATTTACTTTGAATGTAAAGTGGTATATTTGTACACTCTGAACTACATATGGTTTATCATAGAGGAGGGCAAGCGGGATTAAATATCTAAGATTAGTGGGATTAAAATAATTTTTTTAGACACTTAGTAATAATTTTAATAAAATCAGGAGGTGTACATGTACACTCTCGCGTGTATATATATATATTGGCCACTAAGTCTAATATATTAGAATCTCAAAAGTTAACAAAATAATTACCTTCACGAAAAATATGACATATTTGAAACTTTATTAATACAAAAAAAACCAACTAACAAATAATAAAAAATTGTAAATAATGATCAAAATTTGTTGATAAATCAAAATTATTAACAACTCGTTGGTCATAGAAAGTCTATCGATTAAATGCTTGTGGATAAATTTTATTGACAAATAAAAAATTTTGTTGGTAATATCAAATGACCAAAATCTATTAATAATTATCAAAAACCAAAATCAATAAATAATTATTGATTAATTTTGTTCATAGGTATATTTTAAAATTTTGTCATTTTTCTCTTCTTCCTCCTCTTCTTTTATTTTTTCTTCTTTTTCTTCCTTCTCTTCTTTTTTTCCCTCTTCCTCTTTATTTTTCTCTTAATGTACAAACTTATATAATATATATTGTAAGACTCATTTAATTATATAATAAATAGAATCATCTAAAATGTATTAATAAATTCATCTAATATATGTATGGATAAACTTGTATATAGGTACAAACTTGTTCATATTGCGTAATAGGTAATTGTTACCACTACTATTGTCATCCAAAATCACCATTTTTTGGTTAAAATTTCTAGCATGATTGAAATTACCTCTATTGCTAAAAAATTTGTCATTAGATACTAATTTCGTGAGTTGAACTATTTTAATCCACATTAACATAGAATGCTAAGTTATAATTGAATCTTTTTTAGTAATGTTAATGGTAGAAGATTCAATTAACTTCTCCTAAACTTGTTTATACTTGATTAGTGTGCAAGTAATAATGCCTCAATGTCACTTATTGGAGTACAGCCAAAATTGCTTTGAATAACCAAGGGCATTAACTACTAAATTGATACAAAGAAGAAATTCATCAAGCATCATGATACAAAAACACTATAATTGTTGGGCTTTCACATGTCTACATTTCTAAAAATACTCATGAACTCCCAAATTTGATAAATGTTCAGGACCTATTAACCCAGATAAAATCACAGCCTATTAATCAAGATAAAATTGACAAGAAATCAAAGACACAATATAAGGATCTAATCTTGTTCTCAATTGCAATAAGCCAAAATTTTACTTCCTATTTGACAGTTTTCTTCAATGAGAAACCATATGAAAATAACGGGTTTGCGACAAAGCGATGAAATTCACGTTTCTTAATAACCAATACAACTTATTGCTCCCGTAATAGAAATTAAAACAATTTATATTTTTAGAAATAAAAGACAAGAAAGGAGAAGTGGAAGTGAAGAAAACAAAATTTTGAGTTGTCTTCATGGATGCATCTTTAAGCTCTTGATATTCAAGATATAACTTGTATTAGATTATTTGAAACTTATTCTTACAGTAAGTTGTAGTTGATTTTTATGTAGAAGTATGTTGACATATGAAGGTAACTCTAGTATAAAATTTATAGCTGTCCAAAACTTTAATAATTGTCCCATTCACTAATACACCAAGTTGGCATATGAATAACCATTATATTAGGAAAAGAGTGAAAACAACAACGAAATAATTGTCTGGTATTTTTGAAAGTTCCTCTAAAGTCAAAGACTATAGGACATCAAAAGGCAACATAGAAAAGAACGTTTAAAGGTGATAAGATAGGTGGGTTTCCAACTTAAAAAAAGTACCTAAGTGAGACTAACAATAATACTTGAATCTACTATTTTACTTAGTGGTAGATATTATTAGATATTTTTATTCAACCATTTTTCAGGTATTCGAGTCGAATTTTTTTAGAGATATTATTTAAATTTTATGAACTTTGTATTATTATATTATTTAAGACAATATAATTTACTTATTGTTACATAAAAAATTGTTTTTATAAAAAATAGTTATATATTTATATTTCATTTTAAAAAATTGTTAAAAAAATCATCCTAATTATTATAACTGCGAAAAAACAAAATGTAAAGATAAGAAGAAAATTTTTAAAAATAACATAAGATTAGAATCAATATTTTTCATATACTAATTACTTTCTTATATATAAAAATTAGGTTTTTAGTCAATTACATTTCAAAATCGCATATCTAAACTCTCTTTTAAAAGAATTATTTGAAAGATCATTGCTTACATAACATAATTTCATTATGAACTTCATTAGGAAGAAGTTGTTATGTTTATGGACGACTTTTGACTATGGGAGTGAAGTCGTAAAAACACATTATGATAAGATTAAAATCACTAATAACTAATTTGATCAATAATTTTATTGATTTTTTTATAACGACTTTTATGTTAAGACTGAAATTATCTTTCTTTATAATTAACTTTATTTAAAATTTTTCAAAAAATTTAATAAGAGAAGTCATCTTTTCTTAAAATAAAGATAACTTTGGTTTAATACAAATTGAATTGAAGTTAAGATATAATTACTTTGATTTTGTGTTTAGTTTAGTTGTGATTAATATCATGACATGGTATTACGATTAAGAGTTTCTTTTTTTGCCAAAATTTGACAAAAGTTACCTACTCATGACTTCAATAAAACTTATTTTATGAGAGTTATCATATAAAAAAAACAACTTTCAATGTAAATTATTTTGAAAGACGTCGTCTATACCTAAAACGACTTTGTTTTAGAAAAAAAAATCTTTAAACAAAATACACAACTTCAACGTAATAAAAAATTAAGTATATAAGTAATTAAAATTAATCCTAATGAAAATCATCTTATGACTTCATCTTCACAATTAAAGACTTGTTCAAAAGTCGTTCGTATGAGACTCCCTTAACCTTTTAGGTAATTTAAAAAGAAATCGAAGTGATTTGAAAAGCATACTAACCGAGAAAAAGAACTTAGAAATTAACCGGTAATAATGATAAAATTCTATTGATTTCAACTTCATTCAACACTTAATTTCTTTCTGAAATCAAGATTATAAGTTCATCTGCAGTCAAACGCGTTTCTCTTTTAAGCAGCTTTTGCAAGTTTCTCTGCGTGTTTTTGCATTATTGTTGACCCCAATGTCTTCTTCTTCATCATCACAACCCCAATGGATCTACGACGTCTTCATCAACTTCAGGGGAGGAGACACTCGCAGAGACTTCGTCTCGCATCTCTACTGCGCCCTCTCCAACGCCGGCGTCAACACTTTCTTCGACGACGAGAATCTGCTCAAGGGAACGCCGCTGGAGGAGCTAACGCGAGCGATCGAAGCCTCTCAGATTGCGATCGTCGTTTTCTCCGAAACCTACACCGAATCCACTTGGTGTCTAACCGAGCTTCAGAAAATAATCGATTGCAACGAATCCTACGGCCAAATCGTTGTGCCCATATTCCACGGCGTCGAACCGTCCATTCTACGCAATCCCAAAGGTCGCTTTCGTGAGGCTTTGGAAGCTGCTGCGAAGAAAAAGTTTTCCGAAGAGCATAGGGAGTATGGGTTGTCGAGATGGAAAAACGTGCTCAAGAAAGCTGCAA